GTTATGCTGTTGTCACAAGGAACTTACAGTTCTGCAGTTAACCGTTTTTTTTTTAAAAAATATGCAAATGTATTCAAACAGAAACCAATTTTTACTTCTAAGCTAGATGCAATATATTCACTGTGGCAGTCATTTCCATAGGGGGTAAAGATTATTGATGAACAGAGACAGAACAAAGGCCAGATTGGTCTGTACCTACAAAGAGATTCTGAGTGTGAGTATTGGACACAGAGTGGGTAATGGAACATTGTAGCAGTGTGTCTCTCCTTCAGAGATGAAGATGAAATGGCTGTGAACAGCAGCTGATGCAGCTACCGTGCAGGAAAACAAGAACAATGCTGGTGTTGACACATGTACCTCAGGACTGAACAACAGAGAAAAACACTAGAAAACCTTTACTGCTGCCAAAAACAGCAGCTCCGCATGCTGCTCTGTTCGGTAGTTGAGCTAAGATGCTCTAGGACATTCATAGACCGTATGTAAAAAATGGACATAGGTAGCTACACTTAAAATATAAAGGCAAGGGAAGGCCATTTTCCTGTGCTCCAGGATGTTTCTACAAATGAAAATGAAGTCATTGGGAAGTCGATAAACATCTTCCTGAATAGAACTGAATACGAAATGTGTGCATCAATATTTAATAAGATACATACATTTTTTACACCCAAATCACAAGCTCTTTATGGCTTTCTAGGTAAACGAAATGGACCAAAATTCATAAAATAATTCTATCATAAAATTGAAAAAAAGACCGACATATCATAGCAGCTTGGAGAATCAATTATATCAAATCACTGGTGTAATAGCTAACTGACCCCCAAAGCTAATGAGGCCAGTTTCATTAGCTAAATATGGAACTCCATTAAGTGAAAGGTGACTTCCTCAGCTAGAGCTGTGTCAAACTGTTGCTCACAGGGATCCAAACGTGGTCAAAACACAGCAGCAACGCACAGAGGTGTAGTAAAGACTTAAACTGTCAGTGCGGATGCAGCCATGCAAATAATCTTGGCTGCAGGGCATACACATAGACAACACACGCAGGAATAAAGGGCAATTTGCACCTAAATTCCCAGGCTCAGTGTACATACGTTGACAGAAAGAGAAGGGTGTGATCTTTGACGTGACTATTTATCAAAGTCACATGTTTCCCAGGCTTCTGGTCGGCAGACGTTGTCAGTCAACCTGCAGCAGAGTTGCCATGGGGAATGTTAAGTCTCAACAATGAAATCTGCTTCACATCTGTCCGTGTTGCGCATGCTTGCACGTCTGCACATACTTGTGTGTGTGCGAGCTACTGTCTGAGCCACCCTGAACCTCTCTAAGTCACAACAACAACATTCCTCATCATTGCCCAAACCAAGCACACACCACCAAGTGGAAACACACACATACGCGAAGGGGAGGAGGTTAGCACAGCACAAGGAGGGGGACAAGTAAAGGGGGAGAAGAGGAGGAAGGTTTAAAACTGTTGAGCCTCACCACTTTCAAAGCATCTGTATTCTCCTGGAATCCCACCCTGCTCTCACTCACAGTCTTTTTGGGCTCTGGGAGACTGGCTGAACATACCAAAATATTACTGCACATATGAACACCTCATGGTCCGTATTTCTTGGTATGATCTGTACAGACAGGTTCATTCACTGTTAAGAATGAAAACCCTACAGGACATCTCACACAATCACCTGGTGCAGGCTAGTCCAACATCTGGCTCTTGGGCCAAACACGGCTCTTACAAAAGGTTTAGACGCCGGCCACTTCTTTAGTAATGTTAATATTTGGTGCCTCGTGTTTTTTGAAACCGTTTTCCTTGTAGGTTATCTAGTGGCAAAGTGCCGTTCTGCTATCAGCAACACGCAGCTTTTTGTATTTTGGCTGTGATGTGGTCACGTTTACTTTTTTCTTTTGCTAACATTGTCTTTTGCTTCTTTTTTTTCAGATTATACGATTTTTGACCAATAATAAAATATTACAATGTGATTATGTTATTTTCCAGGGCTGATTAATAGAACTTTTTTTTTCTTTATTTCAGCTAACTTTAACCAAACCCTTGGTGCAACATTTTACATGGCTTTTTAAAGCAGACTTTAGTATTTTTAGTATCAAAACAGTCAAACATGTCCATATGTACAACTAAGTAATTTATCCTTTATTTTTTCCAAATTCCTATACAACTGTTAGAATTAGATGCTGTGCTATATGCTATAACAACTACTTACAACCTGGTTGTAATTTTAATTAAACATTTCATTGTCCTACTTGCAGCTGTTTGTTGTCTAATGTTTATTTATGTTTTCTGCAAGTTCTGCCAACTTTAACTTTTTATTGGCTAACATTCTACTGTAGTTTATTATTTTTCCATGTTTTCACCGATTCAAAACATAGAAAAGCTTCAAAAAGTTTTGTACCAACGTGTGTGGCTGGGATTTAATTACTTTACCAATCTATAAAACGTGTTTGGATGCAGTGCCACTTAATTACAGTCTTAAAGGGAACTGTAGGAGCAGTTTGCCCTTGGCAGTTTTTTCATGATCGACTTTTTTCCCCTCACTTGACAAACGTTTGGTCTCCTCTGTCCGTTTACAGTAAAACATGACTTATTTTACCTCTTTAAGTTTAAACACGGTTCGTTCCATTCGTTCCTTCCTTGAACTTTCTTCCTCCTTCCTCTTCCTCTGTTGACTCCCTCATGACAGACGCACATAAACACACGCTGACACACGCACACACTCACTGAGAGAGAGACACAGAGAGCGAGAGAGAGAGAGCGTCGCTCGACCCGGAATGTTTGGCAGGATTCTAACTGTACTGAAATACTGTGCTCGCCATATAAGGCTGCAGCAGCTTCACATGTCACACATCATTTACATGCAGCTTGACGGAAGTTTACCTTAGGAACACAAAATACATCAACACACACACGTACAAGCATGCTTCCCTCTTTGGGGCTGACGCAGCAGGAGAGAAAACAACACAACACATTCTTTTTAACATTCGCTGTTCCAAACAAGCCCTGCAGGATAACTCCTAACATGTCCACTGTTGAGTCAGATGGAGGGAATGAAAGCTGAGTGGGCGATCTATTGATCCATTCCACCGCTTCCTGGAACACACACACACGTAACACACACACACACTCTCTCAAACACGCATAAACACACACACACACACACACATAGAAAGGGAAGAAAAAAATCTTGCGAACTAGAGCGACTCCGAGGAAGTAGGTATTGTGTGACTGTCTGCTTTGAGCCAGGAATGTGTATGTGTGCGTGCGTGCACGCGTGCGTGTGATAAAACAAGTCATAGCAAAGAGCCGTTCACCCTGTGGCCCACATAGTGAATGCGCAAACACAGCAGACAACCAGAGAAGACAGTTTCCACGTCTCCTCCTCACGCCTCCTCCCCGTGCTCCACGACACAGGCGCCGACTTTGGAAAGTAAAAAGACTGCAGCACTCGCAGGGAATTGAAAGACGCAGCAGACGTGAATAAGGAGAAGGAGGAGTGAGGTTGTGAGACAAGCTCTTACCTCTCACATAGCTGTCCAGTTGGTGTGCGTGTGCTTCCTGGTACGGATCCTCTGCGTGTGTCTGTCTGACTGTGTGCGTGCGTGCGTGCGTGCGTGCGTTCAGACAGGCTGCGACAGCAGACCCCCGGGCACCGGCTGGACCATTCTGATCTGAGGCAGGCAGAGCACAGCGAGGCAGAGCGACCGGCAGAGTAGGAGGCAAGCGAGTGATTCAGCAGCGACTGAGGAGTGGAGGAGCTGAGCACCAGAGAGAGGGAGAGAGAGAGAGAGAGAGAGAGAGGGAGGGAGAGAAAAAGGGAGGGAGGAGTGGTACTGTCTGTGCACTGTGGAAGTGTGTGTGCGTGTGTGTGTGCGTTGCAGCACTGGCTGTGTGCGCTAGTGTCTCCCCTCCCCTGCCTCCTAAAAAAGTGGCTGAGCTGTGTGCTGATACGGGCTGGGCTGTTTTCTCTGCCCACTCCTCAGCCTCTGGATCGTCTGTCTGCTGTCCAGTGAAAGTGCTGCCCACTGCTCAGCAGCAGCAACAGCTGAGGAAAAGGAGGAGGAGGCGGAGGAGGAAGAAAAAGAGGAGGGGGAGGAGATGGATGGAGGGTGGGGGTCCTAACTGCACTGGGCATACACAGATCCTGCAGTCCAGTCCTCCCAGCCTGTTAGCTTCTCTCCTGAACTAACTGATGACAAGTGGCCCAACACAAACAACACCAGGAAGTGCTGTATCACTGACAGCAAAGCTGCCTCATGGCTGTGTCCCAATTCAGGGTCCATGGTTCAATACCTATGAAGGTCAGACTCTGGAGGCTACAACTTTACTTTTCATTTATCACTGTCTGTCTAGAGTATAGGTGTGTCTCTCCTGTAGGGCAATAACGTCCTCCCTACAAAGAGAAGAGACAGGCAACCTCTAACTGTTCACTTACAAAACACCAAACCTATATTGTACTTGTACGTTGATAAACAACAGAAGAGCTGGACACATAGACCAGTGTTTCCCAAACTGTTTTTCTGGCGACCCATATTTTAAAAGTCACAAACCTTCACTTCCCAAGTCAATAGACATTATTCGTAAACTCCTGGGAAACATGATGCAAGACGACCTAAAAAAAAAAAAACTCTTGCGACCCACCTGAGGGTCGCCACCCAGTCTTTGGGAAACAATGCCATAGACCATTCACACTCATATTCATACCTACAGCCTGTCCAGGATGTCCACTTGAACTGTTAGATTACACGAAGAAGAAACTAGAATAGAAAACAAAAAATACACAGGCAAAGCACTGACCACGCCTCACCCTGAGGCCCAGACACGCCATACAATCCAAAATTCTTGAAAATATATATTTATAAAAACTTTTTGATTAGTTGTTAATGAAGTATTGCTGCAGAATTGAAAAAAAAAACCCAAACTGAATCCGTACCAGTGACGAGCAGGTGACTTTAAAGGAGGTATGCGAACTGTGTCGACAGCTGCCAGTACTGAATGCTCACTATGTTGTAGCAGTGAGGTCCAGGAAGCACCTGTTGCTTCCTGTGCAGCTGCATTTTGTCAGAGATGATAATTGGGACAGGACCTGGTTAACACACTGTGGTGACTTTTGATAACTCGAGCAGTTCCACCTTAATATAATGGAACAAAACAGTAGATTTAAATAACGCCGCTTCAGTTAAGAGACAGTTCAAAAATGAAGATGAAAAGAAATACAGTTTTCTCCAGTATTCTGTATTATTCAGTGTGTTTTAAAGATTGAAGCAGAGTTTGAGGCAACCCTCAGACTCCGGTCAGCCTTCACACAGCTCTACTCTCAATCACAATACAAATTCACAGCACAAAAAAGAAAAAGCTCTAAATCCAAGTCCACTCTATTATTTATTCATTTTATTTACTCAGTCACCACAGTAACTGTGAGTACTGATACCATTGTTTAGTCACAATGATGCAGACATACACCAGTTGGTTGCAGGTCAACAACACATCACATAGTGTTAACCACTGCACTGCTACTGCTAACACTTCTAAAGACTCAAGGCTTCTGCCATCAGCCACACAAAAAAAGAAGTGATTTCGAACTGATGCTGCAATATGTGGTATCCATGGAGATAGTGGCCTTGGCATCCGTAGGAATCTGTAAAGATTTTTGAGCTGCTGGCTGACGCCAAGTTGTCTGAGTGTTCCTGCACATTGTCTCTGAGTCACATCATTTCATTGTGATCAAGGGGAGAGTGCAATCACAGTGCTGTCTTAGAACGGAGACAAAAAAAAAAAAAAAAGAAGAAGAAAAGAAAAGCTTTTGAAAGTAATTCCACCTAGCTGAATCCATTCCACACATACCTGGGCGATAATTCACTATTACGTACCATATTATTAGAATACCTGTAATAATGTTGTCAAAAACATGTAATACCTATTTAAATTCTAGTGTCTTTCAGTGTAAAACTGTCAAATATCAGCTAACCTGCTCCACCCCTGGTCCCTCCCTCTCCCTCTCTCTCTCCTCTTTCTCTCTCTCTCGCTGCACCAGTTCCTGCTGCTGCTGCTGCACAGATCCCTATAATACAATGCTGGTGATAAGTCATCTCTAATTTTCACAGTAGGCCCTTAAACCCAGGGTGCTGATCTGTGTTAGAGCCGCAGCTGCAGTGTTAAACCTTTACCTCATGTTCTATTGAAATGTGACTGCAGAGCGGCGAAAACAAAAACAACTGTGCGCTTCACGCGTGTTTGTCGTTAACTCGGCTGTGAAACTGTTTCTCTGAGTAGGAATAAAAAAAAAAACAAGTCAAATTGAGGTTATTCTTTCTGTCAGTGCTTGAACAAAATCGACTTTTTATCAAATATGCAACCGTCATGCAACATCTTGAGGCCGACAGAGCAATCGGTTGGGAGTGCTCTTCGAATGCAAAGCAACAGGTCGTTCTCGCTCTCTCTCACACACACACACACACACACACACACACCAAAGGATGATTCACAATTAAAAACACATGGTGATGATGTTGAGGCTCAGTAGGAGACACATTAGTAAACAATGTGAAGATCTGGGCCCTGAGTGAAAGTCCTGACACCAACATGGAATTTCCCCTCGTCTCTTCTTGTGCTGCAGCCCAGTGTATGTCAGCACATTGTGCACCCCTCTGTCTCTGCACTGCTACTCCACATTTCTCTGTTGTCAAATTGAACTGGAATATAACGGAGATGAGTTTAACTACCTGTACCTATTTATGGCTGTACTGTTCACTGGCTACATTCTTCTTGATCTGAGAGTTTAGAACAGTCGACTGTTTCACCAATCAGTTTTTTTTTACTTCCTGAAACTCACTCTCGGTTCTTAGATCACATTAAAGGTGTGACTGTTCTTCTCTCTTGAGCAAAGGTTTGAGCAAAGTGAACCAACGCAAGACAGGATGTACTCAAGTGTGAGTACGTGCATGTGCGTGTGGTTAAAGGGAAATTCCACCAATTTTACAAACTGACATCAATGCCGTTGTACGGCTGAAATGACTGTCCAGCCTGACAATACAGTTGAATCATGGTGCGCTAGAAGAAAGCACCCTTTGTCAGACCAAATCATATTATCTCTTATTATATGGTGAGTGACTTAAACGTTATCTTAAACTTTCTCCTCTGTCAAACCATAAAACCATAACCCTTCACCTTTGCTCACTTTTATTTTCACTTTGCTCCTCCCTAGTGTACACAGCTTTCAGCCTTGGCTTCTCTATCATCTCAGCGCTCGGCTATTTCCCAGCTCTCTGTAAATGACACTGGCTGGTCAATGTGAACTCTCACTCGGCTGAGGAAATGTCCCAGAGCTTTTGTGTGCCAAACCCTGACAGCTCATCTATCACTAAGGCCGCAAATACACACTACACTCCCTGACCGGGCCTTCACTGCAACAACAGTCACAGAACGGCCCACGACGAGGAGCGGCAGTGAGGAGTTTACCTGTTGTTTATCTTAGAGGCTGCTCACAAATATTTTCATAGGAGCTGGTCAGGATTACTCAACGTAATCCAAGATAACACGCTGTAAGTGACAGTATATACTTCACATCATTTGAATTTTTGACGATACCTGCTGCTTCCTTTTTTTAAATAACGCCGTTCTAGTTTGATGCAGTGAGAGGAAGCAGGTGCAATTCAAGCTGTCAGGTTTTAACACACAGAGTGAGGAGATAGCACACTCCGGCTCCCCATCTGACAACACTGAGTGTGTGTGTGTGTGTGTGTGTAAAACACACTTGAAGCTAGCAGCTTTTCTTTAGGCCAAAATAAAAAACTTTTGAACTTCTCCTAAATCTTTTGCACGTTATCCATCACACTACAACATAAACCAGAATAGAACAGTCCGTTCCACAGTACAGAAACACAGCAGGAAGGAACGATACATCATCCACAGTTATTTAACCAGCAGTTCGATTAAACAGAGGCGGCTTACCTGTGTGTCTGACTCTCAGTGACTCGCCACTGGGACAGTCAAAGCTACTTCAACACAGGTCACGCTGATGCAATGCATTGTGGGATGAGGTAACATTCTCATTTCTCTTTCTCCACTTCTCTCACTCTCTCATAATAGCACCTTCTGCTTGGCAACGGTCATACCGCAAATGTGGTCAGGTTTTCAGTGAACCATCACTGCGCAACATCAAGTCTCCATGACAACCAACCCTTATCTCATTTGCATCTTACGCTTGCATTATCAGCCTATGCCAAATATGGTCACTTTGTTTGTATCCACGCCTCCCTCCCTTTTATAGAACTTCCTCTTTTCCCCTTTATCTCCAAAGGGCATATATGCATATATATTGTATGGTGTTTACACACACACACACACTCACACATTTGTATACACGTATATATTAAAATAAAATAAAAAAATCATATATATGAATATATACAGATATATAAAATATATATACATCTATCTATATATACATATATACGTATATATATATATATATATATATAGAGAGAGAGAGAGAGAGAGAGAGAGGGAGAGAGATCTATTCACTATTTTGCCCATATTTTTTTACTTTATTGATTAGCCTTACTAAATACATGAGCTATAAACAAACAATTTTCATTTTGGATGTGTATTAGAGTTTGACTTTACCGGGAAACCACTGTGTGTTTTTTTGTCCAGTTTGTATACAATATTTCAGTGCTGCTTCTTGAACACGGTCAAAGGTCAATATTTTGTTTAAAAAAATATAATTTCTTACTTAATATTCACATTAAGATCTTATTTTGAGCAC